TAAAAGGCAAATCAAACAAAAATCTTGCCTCAATCCCACATCCTCCCCCAGCTATTACTCATTTCTTTGAGCTCCTTTACAGACATATATACTAAATAACCACTTCCGGACCACCACCACCACAGAAACCTCCTCAATGGGGTGTATGATCTCTCTTCTTCCCCATCCTTTGCTATCCCTTAAATTCATTCTAATCAAACTTTGGTCCCCACCAAACCACTGATCCCCACATTACCAAACCCTATAATCAATTAGCTTAATTTCCTGTACTTATCAACAGCATTCTTGAAATACATTCTCCCTGGCTGCTCTTTTTCACTGTCCTTTGCTAGGCAGTCCTTACCTTCCTAATTTTTAACAATTGGTGTGCCTCGAACTCAGTCCTAGGATCATATTTCCACCTACACTTATCCTGCCCTGATGGCTTTAAATACCACATTGTTTTACAACCCTGAAATCACAATGAGCCCCGAAAGACTTTGGTTCTAAAATTATAACCTCCTTCCTCCAGCCATTTTCTACCTCTTGACTCTGCTTTATTTTTCTGCCTACTTGACACCTCTACTTGTAGGTGAATTTTAATGTGGAAAAAGATCCCCAAAAGAATTTTCCCCTCTCCCCTCAAACTGATTTTTCTTCAATCTTCCCACATTTGTTTAAATCAAAAACCACAGAGGTGTTGTTTACTCCTCATACCACATATTCACTCCATCAAATGCTGTCACCACTACACTCAACACATCCCCCCAATCTCACTCCTGATCAGCATCTGACTGACTACTGCCAACACCAAATCCAACACACACCCATCTCTCCACCGGGAAATTACAGTAGCTGGTCTCCCTACTTCTACTCTAGTGCTTGCTGGTCCAGTCTCCGTAAAACGGTATGCTAATCTCTTAAATGTTTCTTCTCCATTCAGATCCTCCCAGGCTTCTCATCACAGTGAAAGGAGGTCAACCTTGCTTACAGTGGTCTACCAAGCATGCCTGATCTCCCCTAAGACCTCACCCTAATCTCGCCTGCAACCTTCTCCCTTCACTCACGCCATCGCAATCACAGGCATCTCCCTTTAGCTTCCTAAGCGCACTAGGTTACTTTTTCCTCAGAAACTTTGATTCACAAAAAAATACTAACAAGAACGGCAATTAACATGAGTAAAGGATAAGAATCTACTACAATGACAGAATGAGAAGAATACAGACAGACTAAATTAATATCAAGTTCTACCACTTCTTGCCCATGTAACCTTAGGTAAAAGTTGCTGGTTTTTAAAAATATTCAAAGCTCTTCATTTGTAAAAACAAAAAAATATGAAAACCACTGCTTTCATAAGGCTGTAAGGAGGACTGAATAAAAACTGATTTCAAACATCTGTCACTTGGTAAATGCCAAATGTTGCTCCCTTCCCTCCATCTTATAATTCTTTTCTTAAAGACAACCAAGTGGTTGATATTAGCTCAGTGAATGATTCTCCTTAATTTTCAGGTATACAGAAATACTACCTTTAAAAAGTGGAAATCATTTGGTCATTGATGAATCATGTTATATTACGTCCTTGGTGCATAAGGCAAATACCATTGGCCTATATATTATCGCTTTTTTCCTATTGTGTCCCACAAATTTGTATATAGTACAAAAATATTAGCAAAGACCTTACACTGATAATCTTGAAGTAGCTTTGTTATAGAGGAAGGGAGCTTTAGGAATTTTCATTTGATGCTGTTGATTGGCTTAATCAGACTTCTTAGTCACTGAACACTCAAACATGGTATGAATCAGAGAGATTCTAAGAAAAAATTATTGACAGGATCTAAGACAACTTTTACTTCCAACATGGAATGGGTAAGATAGTCAGCCTGCATTAGAAACAACTAAGCACAGTTATGAGAATAAGCATACATATTCAAAATTCAGTTTTCAATTAGCTTCTGCAAATAATGCTCTACATGGCACTAAGGATTTACTTTACTCTGAAACTTCAATTCCTAAGGTGAAATATACTTTATTTCAGAAGATATGCAAAACAATCATCATGCTTTCAGCAAATGTGCTGTATGTGTGTACACCAAATACTAAGAATGATTATTTCAGGAAGGCACTATTAAAGTACTAAAAATAAATGTGTACCACAATCTCACTGACTTTTCCTGTCCTCATTTCCTAGAAGCCTGCAGCACTGCCCTAAAGAAACCTACTATGCCTCATGTACCCAATCTCTCCATATACGTAAGTCTACTTGTTATTTTTAGCACATTTGTCAGGAGCAGCTGTTGAAGAGTAGAAGAGAAAAAACAAGAAAGAACAGTCATGCATGATGGGATAGGAGAAGGGTAGCAAAGAACAGACTGAACATAATGTTCAGTCAAAACATTGAGTGGGGGAAAAAAAAGAAACCCCAAGGACACTAAAGAGGAAAAGTTGTAGCTAGTGATAAAAATGATGACCTATCCCTAGTTTTCCAAGTTTCCTGGGAATTGCAAAGTTGATGTAACGTTTATTAATCACAGAACAAATTCGTAACAGCTGTACTAATAATACTTTGCAATAAAAAATGAGAACAATAATCAGCAATCTTAAATCTATGTTGTTTTAAAAATCAGCACCACCTCATCTTAATCCAATAATTTGTAAACATTATCTATGTTGCAGATATCATGCTCAACCCTTTATATTTAATTTGATCATCACAATCCTACAGTGCCAGGCATTTAATGCTCCCATTTAACGGATGAATTTAATCTCTCTAAAACTTGATTTATAGATGAATTTAATCTCTCTAAAACTTGATTTTCTCAAAACCTCCTAAGTGGCCAGGCACGGTGGCTCACGCCTGTAATCCTAGCTCTCTGCGAGGCCGAGGCAGGCGGATTGTTTGAGCTCAGGAGTTCGAAACCAGCCTGAGCAAGAGCAAGACCCTGTCTCTACTAAAAAAAATAGAAAGAAATTAATCGGACAACTAAAAATATATAGAAAAAAAAAATTAGCCGGGCATGGTGGCACATGCCTGTAGTCCCAGCTACTCAGGAGGCTGAGGCAGAAGGATTGCTGAAGCCCAGGAGTTTGAGGTTGCTGTGAGCTAGGCTGACGCCGCGGCACTCTAGCCCGGACAACACAGTGAGACTCTGTCTCAAAAAAAAAAAAACCTCACAAGTAAGTAACACAGACAAGATTCAAATCCAGGCTTTGTCTGACTTCAGAGTCGAAGCTCTTACACATACCATCTGTCTCTCTACCTTATTTCTTGTATTTGTCCATAAACTAGGAATTTCACTCTAGCCACCAGGGTCCCCCCTATAATAGGCATGGCTCGTGTGGTTGTGCTTTTAGAAACGTTACTAGAATGACTGCTCTGCAAAAGCAGACGGAAGGCCTTGCCTCAGCGTTTGCAGCACCGGGAAGCCACAAGCAAGGTTTTAGTTCCGGCAGCTGGTGTTGGAGGAGGAGGAGGAAGAGGAGGCAGAGAAGGATGGAAGGGTGAGGATTGCTGAAGAGAAGTCCCAGGTGCAATTTTACCTGCATTCTGTTCGGATGGGGAAAGACCCGTGAGCGACGGTCAAAGGTCTGTCCCACGTGGTAAGGCGGGAACCGCCGCTGCCGGTACTGAGGGCGGTACTGAGGGCGGCGCAGCTGATTCCGGGCCCCAGAGAACTGCCGGTCAGTGGCAGGGGGCTCAAATCCTTCACTGCTGCCGCTCCCTTCCTCCTCCTCCTCCCCAGCGTACTAGCGAAGCAAAGAAACAGAAATTCAGAAGAAGTTTCAGCAAGGAAAGAACCAAAGAATACCATTTAGGATGACTATCACCAAAAGAAAAAAAAATACTCCCCAAAGCAATAATCCCTTTTATTATACAGACAAAATGCATTTAGCCCAGATTATCTTGTGATTACCTGGGATAAACTACATTAAGATTAGAGTAGATCTGTGCAGATAAAATACCAAGAAGCGGAAAAGCAAGAGCAATCAATCTATAATGAATTTCATGGTTACCTGATTAGAACTGGTAAATATAAGCTGACCAACCCACCCAAAGAGTATCTACAAGACTGACAATATTTAGCTCTGTCAAATGTGTCTCTCCCAACATTTACCATCCCTTGGGGTAAAGTCAGGACAAAGCCAAAAAAGAATACATTTTATGCTGCTATCAACATATTTGACCTGAGTATTAAAATAGCATACTTCCTCCAGCAGTTCTCACATTGGGGATTGGGTCTCTGAAACCTTCCAGAAGGTCAGCGAGGTCAAACTAGTCCCATAATGCTGCTAAATTGCTATTTGCCTCCTTCCATATCCCTGCCATTCTCTCATGAGTATACAGTGGGGTCTTCCAAAGGATACAATGACTTGGCCCCTTAGCAAACCAAATGCAGAAAGAGATATGAGAATCCAGCTATCTTCCATTAAACCAAACGTCAAAGAGCCTTGCAAAAGTGTAAAGCAATACCATTCTTCTCACTCAATTTAAATAGTTTTTTCATTAATAAATGTTATTTATGTTAATGTATGAGTTACTTTAAATTACATTTTAAATTTAATTTCTAATACAATAAATACTGATAGATATAAACACACATAAACAAAAACTCTAGGATCCTCAATAACATGTAAGCATATAAGTGGGTTCAAACCCCAAGAAGTCTGAGAACCCTAATCCATGGCATGACACCCTTTATGTTTAGGAGTAAAGTTTTAATTGTACTTTAACTGGTAGTAGTAAGTCCTAATACTGGTAGTTTTTAAATATAGACCTCATTAACAAAGGGAATCAGTGACTCATTTTATATTTTTCCTGTATTTAAGCTGTATCGTATACTACCATTTTATATTTTTTTAAAAAATTAAACAACCAAACACCCCTCAAAGAATATGTGATTTCAAATCTGACTTCAAAGGGAGATACACAAATATCTTATGGGAAGTAACTGTAGTTTTTAAAATCGAATAAATTAAAAACAAAATAATAACCCATTTCTTATTTTGTGGGACAGTATTTAAGCTTTAGACTCCTTCAGAACAAGCCCATGTGTAACTATATATTCCCAAAAAGGAAAACCTCGGCTAGTCTAATTTCAGAAAAATCTTCATAAAACCCGCATCAAGATGATTCATAATTATGTAAAGATTAATTATTTGCATAGGGAATGTTCAAAATACTCAGTGTGAGACTATACTATTGACTTTTGACAATTTTATTCCTACATCTTTTACACACGACTTCAGAATTTGCAGCTTTCAGAGGGGAAAAGTCTTTAAGAAAAATTTTTCACTGAAAGTTTTCCCATCACTTTTACTTTTGAATTAACTTAGGAGTTAAAACAATCACAGCTATAGCTCTGTGAACCTGACCAACTTAAGAGTTAACATGATGTAATAAATGCTGTAGTAGCTCATTTCTACCCCTCCCCCACCTTATTATCAAAAATCAAATAGGATAAGCAAAAACAAGGATAAGAAAAATACTGAAACACACATAAGT